CTCCACCACCACATGCAATTTAGGTCATTCCCAGAATTTTTAATGCTATATCACGAACACTTGATGTTGGTGACTTTTGAGTCTGAAATTTCCTTCCATGTTAGATTATTCAGGATTAGACTGCAATTGGAAACTCTGTGAAGAATCAAGTAACTGCACTAATTATTTTTATTCATAAGCTACTTTTATTGATATACATGTTCTAGGGAAGTTTCTTTCTTTCTTTCTGAGCTAACCTTTTTGAGCGTTAATTAAAATTGAAGAGTTCCTTTCCTTTTGGTGTAGGACTGAATCTAGGCACGTGAGACTCAGTTTAGAACAGCTGTACTTAAAGATGATACCTAAATGCTGGGGAGGCAGGATGCCAGGTGAAGAGGTAAACCTGGAGCCAAAGTAAGCACATGAACAAGCTCAATGACAACTTAAAGTAACTGGTCCTGCAATCATCAGGCAGGCATTTCAGACAAAGAAGTAGGAGAGGATCTAGGAGGGGGACACCCCTTCCATCGGAAATTTGAGGAAAGTAGGATTTTCAAAGTTAAAATCATAGGAATGAGGAGAAAGGGGGCTGGATATAGTTCACCTGCTATATAGTGAAGTCAAGGCATGAGATATTTAGCAAGTATGGCATTTATTTGTACAGTTTTACCATAGTTTAGCTACATGCATATTCATTGCTCTAGGACGTTGCAAAAGACCTTATTCATCCTGTATTCCAGAAACAGACTCAAATCAGTGCAGGAGCTTGCCACAAGCTCATCACAGAATAAAGATATTAGCACTTCACAGGACACCAGTGAGCATCTTGCTTGTTAAACAAAACCTGGGTACTGGCATCTTCCTTGAAATGTTGGGTGGAGTGGGGAACATTGGGACAAATGCTCAGTCTGCTTTCTGACCTGGTTTGGTTTTGTCCTAAACATCTTCTTCCTGGGGTCCTAAAGAGAGAATGGTTCATCGCCTCATGCTTAACTGTAAGCTGGGGATGCTGACTGCTGACCATAAACCCACATCAAAGCACTATGCCAGGGACTGTGTTAACACCTCATTTACACTCCACACGTGAGAATCCACGGCATTGAGAGTATCATGTTATGCACTGTCCTTACACTTAAGCATCACCTATGCCTTGCCCTGAGTTAAATGAGTCTTTGTTTCCTTTAGAATTTCATGTTTGGGAAAGAGAGAAAAGGAAGAGGCAGTATAAAAAGAAGAGTCAAAGGATAATCCAATTTGTCTCTTACTTAATAATTCTACATCATCTACATTGGAACATTGTTTTTAAATGTGCAGTATTGGTTTCTGTTACACATCTTAGGAAGGAAAACAAAGGATTAAATGTCTAGTACACTGATGGTGAATTTAAGAAATCTACAGGCATAAGAGCAATCGTTTTTAAGACATTACCAATTCTTCCCCCCTTTCCTCTTCTTAGAATTCTGCTTTAGTCATAATGGATAAATAGTGATTATGGATGGAGATTTGCATAACAGATGCCCAGGTTTATAACCTCCTGCACCTCAGACTATCTTGCTGACCTTTTAGGAAAACTATACAAAACTATGCATTGACATCTACAGCACCCAAGTAGCTTCCTCCAAATCACAAGTATTAAAATATAAATGAAAGTGAAAGTTTAGAATTGATGTAGTGAGCAAGTCTAATAAAACTTGAAATTGGCTGGGAAACTCAGCCATGCTTCCACCATATGTTAATTTTTTTCTAGTTTGTATTCAACAAAATTCGTTTACTCTATGACAATGGATCTCAGTGGGTAGGATGGGACAAGGGGAGGAGTGAGTTATTGACCTTTACAGATGAGATGTTTTTTTTCAGAGTCATGTCCACCAAGATATCTATGAAAATGCAAAACTGTAAAATGAGTTTTTTTCCTCCTTATTGATTGGTCAGTTGATAAAAGGGGGGACAATAAAAGGAACATACAGGCCCCTACATTCTAGTCTCTGAGGTTGTGATAGAGGGGTTATCTATTTCATTTGAACTGACAGGAATCTGAAATGTTATAAATAGGTTTTCCCGAGCCCAGCCATTATTTACTGTTTGACTGTAATGTTGGTGTCTTTCTCCTTCTTCAATATTGTTTGCACTTTACTTTTGTGAAAAGGACTTGATTGAGCCATACAAGGGCGATATTTCTATCTCTCTGTGGGATCAATGAAGATGTGTTCACAGGTCCCCAGTACAGTGTACACACCACAATAATGGATCTTAGTCAGTGTTGATAGAAAGCTCTTTTTCTTTGTTCCTTGTCAATCTTGTATCTATTACTTGATTGCATCATAAAAGGCTATTTGGCCAAGCACTGAAACAACAAGTCTATCAGTCAAGCTGAAGTGGTTACCTGAACTAAATCTATTCAGCCCTTACCAAACAAGCCACATTCAACTGGAAAGCAGGCTTCATTTGCCTCTCCATTTAGGGACCATCTCATAGTTGCACTTGCTTACATTTTGAAGTACTTTCTTTCCTCTCACAGATATTGAAATTAATTTGTAGTTGTGAAGGAATAGTGTAGCGATCTCAGTTTAAGTAGGGAATTGTGTGCACAACTAATTAATGGGAGGGAGACCGAAGTTCCTAGGAAGAAGGAAAAATTCTAGACACACACACATCAAGGCCTCTTCTTCCAGTTAATAAAATTGATTTGAAAGCTGGATTAAAAAAGAGCAAGAGAGACAAGCCTATCAACTATCCCCACTCCACATTTACAAGGGACAACTTAGCAAATCACCCTGTGAGACTGGAGATGAGAATTTTCCCCCTTCTGGTCATTTCACTGACAGCTTCATTACACTAAATTGGATATTCGTCCCTTAATCATTTGACCTCTAGAGCAGTTAAAGGTTGACTCTCACTCCCAGCCATCTTGAGGATGGCTGAGGATATCTGGGTCGGTACTGATTCCAAGCCCCTGGGCTCAAATTATAATTATTTTTAGACTAAAACAAGAGTTAAATTGGCACATATGATGGAGATGATCAGATATGGGAACACTTTCTCAGAGAAACTATTTATCACTGTCACAATTTTTCCCCCAAATTCACCTGGCATCACTTATCCGGCAAACCATGACCATGAAGCTTAATAGAAATTCTTTGGGAAGTATATACATCATCCCTAACCCTACTGCACAGTTCCTAAGTATGAGGTAGTGGGGATACACTTTGCCACTGTATACCTCTCATTACTGTAACACCTTGGAAAATATATGTGCAAAATAAATTTTAGAGAGCAGAATTAGGTTTTGAGATACAGGAAACTCAGCATTAAGGAAAATGTGTACTAAGTACAATTTTAATATTAAGAGCCTTTTTGAAAATGCACAACCATCCATTAGATAATTTTTGTTATTTAAAAAAATCTATTGTTTTTATTTTATGTGTATGAGTGTTCTGCCTGCATGCATATTCATGTACTCTGTGCCCTTAGAGGCTGGAAGAAGTTGCCAGATCCCCTGGAATTGGAGTTAAGGACATCTGTAAGCTGCCATGTGGGTGCCGGGATCCAAACCTAGGTCCTTCTGCAAAATCAGCAAGTGCTTTTAAACACAGAGCCATCTCTCCCGCTTCCAGCTGATTTTTATTTTATAGTTATGTTTCTGTATAGCAGAGACACTGATTGAATATATCAATACTCTCTTGAAAATCTCTGCCAATGTTTACACTGCAGAATTTTTTCTTCTTTGAGAATTTCTTACAATGTATTTTGGTAATGTTTCCCCATCTCTCACTCCTCCCAGGTCCACCCTCCTTTCCTATCCACTCAACTTTGTGTCTTTTTCTGTTATTGTTGTCGTTTTGTTTTAACTCATCAAGTACAGTTATTGCTACCAATATATTCTTGGATTTGCGGCCTTTCATGGGGGAATGGCCAGCTCATCACAATGAAGATTTTTTTTTTTTTTTTTCGAGACAAGGTTTCTCTGCTTAGTTTTGGTGCCTGTCCTGGATCTCACTCTGTAGACCAGGCTATCCTTAAACTCACAAAGATCCGCCTGGCTCGCCTCCCAAGTGCTGGGATTAAAGGCATGTGCCACCACCGCCCGGCGTAATGAAGAATTTTTTAGTGGGATTGAACCCTTATCTTCCTGACAAAGAAACTGAGACCTGGAAATATTAGGTGATACACCAAAGTTCCTATCGTTAACAGCTAGTAAACTGGCTTTTGGACTGGTGCCTCTTAATGTCTTGTCTGGTCTTTATTCGTGTTCATTCATGGGATTCTCCTAATCAAAAATTAGA